AAAATTTTAGGAAACTTTCTATTTTTTCTATAATTAAATATAGGGGAAAATGTTTTTTAGGGAGTAGTTTTTTAAATTTTTCCATGTCCATTATGTTTTATAAATAAGTGAGAGTGTGTGTTGTTTAACTGTTATGAAATCATGAACAGTTTAAAAATAAAAAACTTTCCAACCACAAACGCTCATATAAGGAAAAATATTAAAAAATTTAAAAACCAATAAAAAACATAGATTTTGTCCTTTATTTTTTTTTTAAGAAAAATAAAACAAAACACAGACAAAACTAGAAAAGTAATAAAAAGATTTTTAAAATAACCTGACATAGATATAAAACTAATTAAACGAAGTAGAAATCAGATGTGACCTTCAACAAAAAATATAAACATACATCCATAACGAAAAAAGCCCATACGCAAATCAATAACAAAATCGAAAAAAAACAAAAAAAAAAGAAAGATATAGAAACATGAAATTCTGTCGGAAAAAAATACATAAAAAGATACAGGAGAAGAAATATCATATTAAAACCCACTGTACAAAGGAAAAAAAAATTTTTTTTTGTTTTACACAAGATAAACAAAAAACTAAAAACTAAAAGAGCTCAATCAACAAACCACCGAACAAGTTCCTGACGATCCGATGAGGTGAAACCTGGGTAGGTTTGTCTGGCTCAAAACTAGGTTTATACATATATATATACATAAAAACAAAACCACATTTCTTTCCTTCCACAACAACACTTTGTTGGAGGAAAAATATATACTTTCCCGACCAAAATATATATAAGATCCGATATATATATATATATATATAATAAAAAAAGAAAAGAAAAATAAATAAAACAATTTATAATATTTTTTGTTGATGTTATTACTTCAGTTAGTCACTTCTTTTTTTTTTCTTCTAATAATGTTGATAATTAAATTGACAAAATGTAAATTTAACTGTAAGATAGTAACAAATTCATGACGTTTTATTTGAGTCATTTTACTTTATAGCTGAAAAACATTTATTTTATTGTGATTGATGGTTACAAGCGAGAAGGGAGATGGGATGTGCTTATTTTATTACCATATTAATATTTTGAATTTTGGTTAAATTTTAAATGGCATAATTGGCGTTAGGTTATTAATTTTATTATTGCTAGGGTATTAATTTTGTTGTTTCTAGAACTTTGATTGCATTATTGCTGAGGTAATAATTTCATTATTGTTAGAAATTAATTAAACTCTTGTTAGGTCATTGACTTCATTATAGTTTGGGTGTTAATTTCATTATTGATAGGGTATTAATTTCATTATTGTTAGGATATTAATTTCATTATTGTTTGGGCATTGATTTCATTGTTAGGACAGATTTTATTAATGTTAGAGTATTAATTTCATTCTTGTTAGGGCAATGATTTCATTATTGTAAGGGTATTCATTCCTTTATTGTTAAGGTATTAATATCATTATTGTTAGCGCATTGATTTCATTATTGTTAGGGTATTAATTTCGTTATTTCGTGAAAATAAAGACAAATTTGATACAACAGATTAATTTCGATAGTATAAACATGACGTTTTTTTTTTTTATTGAAAACAGTTGGTCCTTGTTTCAAAATGGATTAACTTATTTTATTATTATTTTAATTGTGTTTAAATGTTAAACGTTAGGTTATTAATAATAAACAAGTTTAATTAATCATATATTATAAAAATTTAAAACAATTGACCTCATAGTCTCTAATAACCTATTGATAGGTATTAATTTCACATTGTTAAATACTCTACAAAAAGCAATGTAGTGTATCAATTTACATGCCTGTTCAGAGATTGTATCTCTAATACTAATAATAAAAACAACTACATATATTGATTTTTACTACGACCACGCTTCTCCCGTAGAATTACCTGTCACCTTTCTGATCTTAGTTCTATTAAACAACATTTCTTAGAAAAACATAGCCATGTACATAATTTGATGGCGAATATCTTTGTCCGTATAACCACTCTTAAGATGGCTAATGTGAGCTTAGGACAACTTAAAAAAAATATCCAATTTTTATCTTTATTGTCACCCGAAATTAAAGCAAACATACGAACATTAGAAACGTCCGTATAATGATCAGACATAGCTTAAGACATTCTTAAAAAATATCCAATTTTATATTTAACAATATATATATATATAGAACGCCTAATATATATTATTGTATATATATATATATATATATATATATATATATATATATATATTATCATCCACAGACAGACTGTTTCTGCTGTATCACAGCTCATTAGTGTGGATAGATCTCCAGTTGCCTCTAGCTAGGATCGAAACCCGACTGAATTGGCATCAGGTGGGGGGATTCTATCACTAAGCCGTTGGCGCACGGCAGGGATGAAGGTGAATTTAAGCGTATTTATTTTTAAATAAACACACAGTGACTGAGAGGACTCGATTCGATTTACCGAAGAGTCTTGCATTATTAGCCGTAATAGTCACTGTTTACCAATCCACACTTCCTCCCCACAGAGCTCAACCGTAATAGATTTTTCAGGAGCATATATAAAAGTAAAATCTAAAAAATAAAAATACTTGTAAAAACAAATAAATATTAAAACAAAGTATTTAAAATAACAATTTAGATTTAATTTTTTAAAATTTTCCTTTATTTGAATAAATGAATATTAACCTTTTTTCCTTATAATTGTTTTCAACATTCTTTGTTTAATTCAAAAGTTATATTAAATTATGAATTGTCGCAGTTTCCGATACCCATTTAAAAATTTTGCTAAGTGTGACGTGAGTTATTCGTTTGTTCCTGGGTGAGTCGTTGTTTAAAAAATTGAAAAACACTACAGTAGAGGGATCTGTTTATAATTAAAAAAAAGAAGAAGAATATTTCTAATCATAGTGTGCCTATTATAAACCTCCAATGAAACAGCTAACCTGAAGGCGAGGACATATTTTCCAACAATTACACCCCCACGATTTTTAACAAACCGCTTCGATTATTGATTTAAATGTTTCAATCATCATTGATCCTGTTCACAGGTTGACCTTTCCTGATAAAAAGGCCACACTAAATAATTCTTCCAGCATGAAAACGGACTATGTTTTAAAAAAGAGATTTGTTCCTTCCGTTGTCCGTATTCAGCCGTTCGCAACTTTCAAATAGAAAAAAAAAACGAAACAAAACAAAACAACAAATGATCGCATCTAAAAATACAAATAGAAGTTTCTGAAGGCCAGGTTAAATGGATGCAATCAGGTTTCTTTAAAAAGAATATCATCTATGTATATTATTGTTATTGCAATAAATACACTTACAAGAAAAATATATTTTTAGAATTTATCCATGCATCAATAATACAATCTCGTCCAGAGTATGACGATAAACTACATCCGCGTCCTGGGTAAGACGATAAACTACGTCCAACAGCAAGGCCTCTGATCAGGAGATTTTGAGGAACGTGGAGCCACGTCTTAATTGCTGGTGTTCCCAGGTCCACCCTGATCCCGGGTGGTAGCACCAGTTAGGGTCCCAGCTAGGGGTTAATAGTTTTAACCACCACGGGGTTAAAACATTATGAAAATATAAAAATAGGTTTAAATACCAGAAATACTTTGTAAAAAAATTATTACCAACAATACGTTTTTGAAGAAAAATTATTACCAGCGGTGCATATTTGAAGAAAAAAAATGAGATATACATTTAAAAAAAAAAGAAAGGGAAATACCAGCATTACATTTTGGGGAAAAATATTAACAGCAATAAAAATCTTGTCAGTATTAAATAACCCATTGATTTGTTAATATGCCATAAAAGAAAACAAACAATAATACAACCAGGTTGACGGGTTATATATATATATATATATATATATATATATATATATATATATATATATATATATATATATATATATATATATACTGTTTATATATATATATATATATATATATATATATATATATATATATATATATATATATATATATATATATATATATATATATATATATATATATATATATATATATATATATATATATATATATATATATATATATATATATATATATGTTTATATATATATATATATATATATATATATATATATATATGTTGTTTGAGAGTCAAATTATTAGTAGCCATTTCTCAGGTCAATTTTCACCTGAATAATGACCTTGCAGAGTATGAAACCTACAAAGGATGTATATATTTAAGAGTAGCTTGAATATATATCATATTTATTCGACGAGTGTAATGGCCACCCGCGGGAACAAGCAATGAAACTGTCAGAAATATTATTATTCATTTTATTTGTACGCCCCCCCCACACACACTTTTTTTGGAATAATTTCAAAATTCGAGCTAAAGCTTTCATTTGGTTTCCTTCATATCGTTCTTTGTAACGGTCTTGATTGTCGTACAAACGGAACAGATATTAAGAAATGTTTAGAATATAAATTGTATAGACAAATGTTTCCACGGTTGGTTTATTCATCATGGAGTTGGCAATTTTGTCATGCATTTATACTAAAATAAGTGTGGCTTCCGGAAGAGAGTTTCGTTGGCGATATACAATACTGTGTAAATTTACTTATTCAGGGAGGAAAATGTGAACAACGCATTCAAGGTATAAAACATAGATTATGTAATGATGAATTGTAGGCAATGGAAAAAGGAACGATCTGATTTGTTGCTAGATTCTAATTTGTATAGCAACAAATTGCATATATTAGATAATGTAGTTTATAAAGGAAGGTTATCTGCTCTTGAGAAAAAGAAGGCAAGAATCATATCAGTCATTTGCGAGTTAGACTCTGTTTAACGTTGACGTTTTTTTCCAGAAATGAAAGCCTTAAAGATGGAGGATAAAAGTTGCGCTTTCATGATATTATTAAAACAATGTTTTTTTTTTAATTCTTCAAAAAATGGTTTTCTTTATTTTTACAAAATGGTTTTCTTTATTCTTAAAAAAATTGGTTATCTATATTCATCAAAAAATGGTTTTCTTTATTCTTAAAAAAAAATTGCATATCTATATTCATCAAAAAATGGTTTTCTTTATTCTTAAAAAAAAATTGCATATCTATATTCATCAAAAAATGGTTTTCTTTATTCTTAAAAAAAAATTGCATATCTATATTCATCAAAAAATGGTTTTCTTTATTCTTAAAAAAAATTGCATATCTATATTCATCAAAAAATGGTTTTCTTTATTCTTAAAAAAAAAATTGCATATCTATATTCATCAAAAAATGGTTTTCTTTATTCTTAAAAAAAAATTGCATATCTATATTCATCAAAAAATGGTTTTCTTTATTCTTAAAAAAAAAATTGCATATCTATATTCATCAAAAAATGGTTTTCTTTATTCTTAAAAAAAAATTGCATATCTATATTCATCAAAAAATGGTTTTCTTTATTCTTAAAAACAAAAAACGGTTTCTTCAAAAAATGGAAATGGTTTCTTTACTCCTTCCCATAAATGATTTTACTTTAATCTAAAAAAAAAAAAAACCCCAAAAAAAACAAACAAAAAAAACACAAAAAACCAAACAAAAACAAAACAAAAAAGAAAGAAAGAAAATAATTTTCCTTAAGCTCCCAAAACAGAAGTTGGGGGTATTATGGTATATAAAAGGGGGTTATCTGCTATTGTAAAAAAGACGGAAAAAAACAAAAAAGATGTAAATGCATCTAATTCTGTTCTATCTGCCATCAACATTTGATTTTCTATATTAAAATTATCTATTGTATTTTCTACAGTAAAACGTTAGCAATGTATCTACATGGAACATATAATAACACTCTTCTGTCTGTAATCCAAAAACCTCGCTGACTAATGTCTGACAACTGATCCTTTCACTCACCGAGCTCTCATAGCTCAAAGGCGGGGGTGTAACACTGGCTTGTGTCAGTCAATACCCCCCCCCCCCAGAACAAAGCTAGTAACGCCTCATCATCATCGAACAGATTCTAAATTTAATTCAGTCCTGATGAGCGGTTCTACTTTCAATGAATTTCGAAAATCTAAAGCTCACTAAAACTCAAGTAGAACTCATCTATTCGTGCCATTGCCAAAGACGCTGGAAGACTGGTCGATCTCTTATAGCGTTGCAGAAAATATCTAAATCCCACTGCCATGCTCTATCTCTACAAGAGTTATATCAGGCCGAAAAAAAAAATGGATTGTTGTTGCCATATCTGGCCCGGAGCTGTCCAGTTCTAACTGTCCAGCCTTGACAGAGTTTTTTTAAAAAAAAAAGCGTTTACATCGCTTTGTGGGTGATTAATTATTTTTCACCCAGAAAAGCGTTTTCCACACACGAAATATTAGTAGCCTCTCTCTACACTATTCAGCCACCTGGAAGGGTTCTTGGGTCTTGTATTGGGTGAACAATGATATAAAAGATCATTCTCGATCATTCTCTTTTTGGAGTCATTTTCAATCTCACAACGATGTTGAAACTTGTTCCAAATAATTTTAGACTCAAATATGAGAATTCCTTGATTAAATCAGTGATTCTCAACGTTGGCCCTTCGCCCACAAGTAGGCCTGAGAAAATTTTTTAAATTTACCTGGAGCTGCAGATTGAAAAGGGAAGAAACTTACGCCTGAAACTGAACCAAGTCTTGGGAGTTCAACTTGATGATCTGATAGACAGACAACAGCAGTAGTGTAGATTTATATTTTGGCTTTTGTAAATAAAATGTATTTCCTGTTGCTTTGGATTTCTCTTTATGCTTATATATGTGCTTACTCGAAATGCTTTTAGCATTTGCTTATGTCATGATAAATATAATAGAACGAATCAAAGTAAATATCCTATTGAGGTTTAGTCATCTGTATATAATTTTCATATTTGCTGTGCCGCTTGCATAAACATCTGAGGATGGGCGGGTGGTGAAATGATTAGCGGCTTGGAATGAGAAATTGGAGACTCAAGTTGGAATTACAATCGAGTCCATTACACAAACTTGTGCATAAATACTTTTGAAAATAACATATACGTCCCCTATCTATGGGTTAAATGTTATGAATTTTATTTGGAAAAATCATTGTTATTCTCCAAAAATTTTTAATGCAATATTCACTCGTCAAAGATTTACAATCCAAAATATTTTGTCTTTAAAACAAAAACAACAGAGACAGTAAAAAACATATAGATCGTAAAAAAACAAAAACATACAGACCGTAAAAAACAAATTGACCGTAAAAAACAAATTGACCGTAAAAAGCATAAATAAATATAAACTGTAAAAAAAGGCGACATAGATCGTAAAAAAATCCACATAGACCGTCAGAAATCCGCATTCACTGTTTAAAAACTCACATAGGCCGTAAAAAATATAAACCGTAAATAAAATCTACATAGGCTGTAAAAAAAACTTCATAGACCGTAAAAAACTTCATAGACCGTAAAAAAACACCTAGCCAATAAAAAACATAGACTGTAGAAAAAACACATGGACTGTAAAAAAACTGATTGTAAAAAAACACATAAACTAAAAAAAAAAGACTGTAGAAAAAAATTCACATAGACTGTAAAAAAGACATAGATTGTAAAAAAAAAGACTGTAGAAAAACACATATACTGGAAAAAAAAGATTGTAGAAAAAAACACATAGACTGTAAAAAAAAAAATAGAACGAATTTTAAAAAACACATAAACTGTAAAAAAAAAAAGACTGTAGAAAAACACATTGACTGTGAAAACAAACATCCCCCCCCCAAAAAAAAACCCTGATACTGCACGCAAATAGTCAGCTATTGTAGAGTCCTCTTTAAAAGATGCCACTAATTTTAGTTTTCCATTTCTTGGCGATCTTGATATTTTGGCAACCTACTCTTACTTTTGCAATATGAATTTCTTGCAATCTCTGTTCTCTTTAAAGAGCATCTAAGAATTATCCATATTGTGAGATGATGATATACACATGCATACATACATGCATACATACATGCATATATGATAGATGTTGTTTTGTTAGATGAGTTTGACCGTTGCTAAAACGTTTTCCATCTCTCTCGGTTTGGGAAGACAAGTTCTCCTTCTATTAGACCGGGTGCTAACCAAGGCTTAAGAGTCTAGTCTGTCCTAATATTTAATCAATTACTGGGGGGAGAAGAGAACTGCTGAAATATCCGCTTCTCTCTTTGTTTTACCGGATTTTTTATTATTCTTAATTGCATATTTGTTTGATTTATCACTAAGTATGACTCTAGAGAAGGCAAAAGAATGTATCGGCTGAAACGTAGCGATAAAACCAACGAGGATATTTGTTGAGACAACTCGTGAAATAGACTCAGTTTAGAATTTCTTTTTTTTTCTTTTTTCTAAACTTGCTTCCTACTTTCTTTTTCTTTTCTAGACTTGGTTCTTTCTTTCTTCCTTTCTTTCTTTCTTTAAACTTGCTTCCTACTTTCTTTCTTTCTTTCTTTCTCTTTTTCCCTTCTAAACTTGGTTCTTTCTTTCTTTCTTTCTTTCTTTCTTTCTTTCTTTCTTTCTTTCTTTCCAGACTTGCTACTTTCTTTTTTTCTTTCTTGTCTTGGTTCTTTCTTTCGTTATTTCTTTCGAGTCTAATTTCCTCTTTCTTTTTCTTTTCTACACTTGGTTCTTTCTTTCTTTCTTTCTTTCTTTCTTTCTTTCTTTCTTTCTTTCTTTCTTTCTTTCCAGACTTGCTACTTTCTTTTTTTCTTTCTTGTCTTGGTTCTTTCTTTCGTTATTTCTTTCTTTCTCGTAGACGCACAAACTTTCGAGTCTAATTTCCTCATTTTTCTCATTTTCTTTTAATTGCACGATTGTGCATTTTTTCTTTTCGTTTTTATATATCCTTACTCTTTCTTTCTTTCTTTCTTTTTTATCTCTCTTTCTATCATATTCACGTACATTCCTTTTTTCTCTATCTCTCTTTCTTCTTTATTTTTTAACTATCCAAATGCTGCCGACTTTCCTCCCTTTCCCCACCATACAGACACACGTATACACAGCCATAGGCACACAAAACCGGCTCCATTTTACAGATTCTACTTTCAAAGTACAATCAAATTGGTCTCCATTTCATATCGCACTACAAATGTCGTCTCCCTGCGCCCGCTGTCTTCACACTTCAGCTCGGCCTGAAGCACTTGCAGGCCAACAGACCGCAAAATATCGAAACGCGCTTTAACTTCTTAATAATTCAACCCTTCTAGCAAATTACAATGCTGAACGTGTGGCCGGAAAAATCCCGTGGGTTTGCATTAGTGGCAAGTAGATTTCGAGAGCTTCGATTGCAAAAAAGCCACATTTCTTTTATGCTAAAAGCCCACAATTAAGGTCAATGTCCAACGCAGAATATCATTAGTAACAAACACACAAAAATGAACTTTATATAACCTGCTAATTCTGATGACACACTGATACAAAGAGAATGACACATTTTGATCTGAAATTTTCACTGTATAATATTCGATTTATACGATTAATATTCACCATTGAATTATGTGCATTGACAAGGAAGAAGGATGAGAAATAAATATCTGTTGTATAAAATAAACGCTTTTTGCATATTTAGGTCGCAAACTTATTGATATTTTGTTTGGTTTGTTTTATGACATATCAACACCTCAATGGGTTTTTATTGCTGGTAATATTTTTTTTTCAAAGTGTATTGCTGGTAATAATTTTTTATTCAAAAATTCATTGCTGGTAATAATTTTTTACAAAAACATATTGCTGGTAATACAACCTATTTTTAACGTTTTGACCCCAGTTTAGGGGTTAACTATTTTCCCATAGCTGGGACCCTAACAGGTGCTACCACCGCGGGTCAGGGTGGACCTGGGAACATCAGCAATTAAGAGGTGGTTCCACGCTCCTCAAAACCCCCTGATCAGAGGCCTTGCTGTCGGATGTAGTTTATCGTCTTACCCAGGACGCGGATGTAGTTTACTGTCATACCCAGGTCGGAACTTACTGATGTATCTGTATATTCAACAGTGAATTATGTGCATTGTCAAGCAAGAACATTTTACTGAAATATAAATTTATTGTGAAATAAATGCTTTTTTCATATTTAAGTTGAAGACTTATTGACGTAACAATATATTTAGCCCTGAATGAAATTAAAGAGATTATGTTGAAAGGTATATATTTATTGTATAAAATAAATGTCTTTTTTTCCAAAACAAATGCTGCTTATCGATGCCTTATATATTAAACTCTGAATTAAGTGCATTGACATGGAGATTCTGATGAAAATAAATTTGTTACATGTTTTGCTCGTTGTTAGGCAGCAGATTCATTAATGTATCTACATATTCAACTCTGAATTAAGTGCATTGAGAAGAAAGGAGAATATATTGAAAAATATATATTTCTTGTGAAAAATGGTCTATAGACTTGTTCACAACAAATATATTTCAACATAAACTCACCTATATATAGAGACGAGTTCGAATTCCAGTTGAATCCATTACATTCACTTACGTGCTCATACCCTTGGAAAAGGTATGAATCCTCTTCTTCTCTCACCAGCTGTGGGTAAAATAGCAGGACAGACTGGGTTCTATAGCCTTGGTTGGCAACTGGTCTAAGAGAAGGACAACTCTGAATTCAAAACCTGCGGGGGTTGTTTGGGGTCCTTGTGGCACTTAGTGCACCAGGTCTCTGCATTCGGTCCTTCAAAATGTGTGGTTGGTTCTGCACAAAACCTTCAACACTATAATCAAATCATATGTGCAGGTGTCTGGGTTGTCGGTTCCTAGGAACTAAGTCAACTTACGACAGGAGAGTCTGCCATATATATATATATATATATATATATATATATATATATATATATACGTATTAAATGAATCATTCATACAAAAAGTAGCTTAGTAAAGTTAATGATATAAAATGGCGAAAACTCTTCGCAAACTAAATTTAAAAGTTGCATTAACCTACGAACCACTAGATGAATGTTATGATCCTTGTTTTTAATAATTACAAGCTGCATAAGGTCTTTTTTTAATCTGCTAGTACTTTCAACTGTATACACAGTCATCCTCAGGCATGGAAATTATTTTGTTTTTAGTAAATCCATGTAGTATCAGAGACGAAACTAAATCTTTCGTTAAGAAAATTGAATTGTAAAAACGAGAGAGAGAGAGAGAGAGAGAGAGAGAGAGAGAGGAGAGAGAGAGAGAGAAAGAGAGAGAGAGAGAGATATTATTATAAAATCGCTACACAATTACAATTGTTTCCTCCATACTCCATTTGTTTTGCCTGAATATATATATATATATATATATATATATATATATATATATATATAGATAGATAGATAGATAGATGATGGATTCTCCCGCCGAGTTCGACGTATGAGGTTCCGACGACCACGAACTAATTATCTGCATGCCTATGACGTGCATGACTTTTGAGACCGGCTCGAGAATTGCATAAAAGACCACAAACAGGACAGGAGAATGTATTGTATCCAAGTGCAGCAGGAACACTTCTAGATGTCTTATTTTGCTTTCTCGTTTCATGTAATTGGCTGATGCTTACTTCTCAGAGCAGCAATGTCAATGTTGTACTTCTTTAGCTACAATGCGAACAGAGCTGTTTTTCTTTCTGGTACTGAGTTGTTGTCCTGAAGAGTTCGTACATTCCAAGTGCCAAGATGAAGTTGATGATGTTTCGTAGAGTTTTTTTTTGCAGTAGCTGGATACGTGTGGAACTAATTAGATATAGTTGTCAGAAAATCAACACAATGATTTGTTTCAAGTGGTGAAGGTTTGTGTCGGACCATCTACACTTTTTGGTTCTGTCGATAAAGACTTGCCACGGAAACACCGAACGACAGTCCTCATGTGTTATTATTGTGGAGTTTAACCTCTCCGGATCACAGTCAATACCAGCCAGTACACGCCTCTCGGCAGGCGCATGCAATATAATGACCGGGTTAAGCTGTGAAACCAACACTAAAATGATTGCTAACCAAAGCTCAGATAGACTCCTTTCAGCCTCATCAAAGGTGAATATATATATATATATATATATATATATATATATATATATATATATATATATATTATAATTATTTTTAAAAAATATGATTCCTTCGCAACTAAATAAAAAAAAATAATTATAATTTAAGCTCTACTTCTGTATGGAGCACTGTTTTTTTTTTTTTTTTTTTTTATGAAAACAAAAAATACTAAATAACCCGGATTATTTACCAAACGTGTTCTTTCTTATTTTTCTACATATCTGCATATATATATATATATATATATATATATATATATATATATATATATATATATATATATATATATATATTACTTCAAACGTTTATTTTTAGTGGATACCCATATTTGAGTAGATGATCCGTTTATTTGAAACAGTATATACAGGGGCGGCAGAAATAACTCCACCATATATATCCCTGAATCACTCCCCCCCCACACACATAATGGTAAGAATTAGCTGGATGAAAACACCATTGTCAGTAATATCTTACCATTGTGTGGGAGGTATTTCGGCCACACCTCGAATTTCGTCGACCGGTCTGTGTACTTAAGAAAACTTAAAGAAATTATTCCATCATTCAAGATTCGAACCTGCGTCTCCCTTTGCCGAAGGAAAGCGTACTTACTCGTTCAGATTTTCCTCGAAACACATATCTCCTCAGTTTCATTTCCAAACGTAAAGAAAACAATTTAAAAATTCAGTGGATTTTATTTTTTTAATCCGACATATTTTTATGACTTCAAACGCAATTTTTCATGGATACCCGTTGTGAGTTACACCACTTGGTTTAGCCAAACCTCTGTTAGGTGGCACTGTTTAAGTTTATAAAAAGACAAATATTTCCTTTCTCGCCTCCTTTTTCGCCCTCTTGCCCCCATTTTAAGAGACGTCAAACATTGAATTGTAAGTTTAGTAAGTCGGCAATGGTGTCAACTTTATGAAAGTCAAGGAAAACTCACTACAACTAATATGAATGATTGTCGTATTGACAACTCAATTGGATAATAATAAAATTTTAATATTTACTTTGAACTTAAATATGCTATTCTTACATCTAAAAAAAAAAGCCTGATGGGTTGGATGAATGTGGCGTATAAAATTAAGAATCACCATAAATTGATTTAGTCTATTACCGTATTTGTTTTGCTAGTAGATCATTTTTGAGTGTAATTATTATTAGATCAGGTTTTTAAATTTTATGAATAATGATATTGCAAAATTCCGAAATGAAAGGACAATTCGGAGTACGAATTAGGAATCAGTGTATATAATAATAATAATACTAATGGACTCTCCTGTCGGTTTCGACGTATGAGGATCTGACAGCTTAATTGATTCAGTTATGAAATTTTGTGCGGTAATTTTTAGTGGTACTTAAGACCCGCAAGTGATTTACAAAGGAGGACACATATGGAGAAAGAGTGAGGATTGTGAGATGAGATCACTATTAGATTGGCTGACCTTTTAGTTCTTGCTCTCGCTTCTTGAAGATGATTCAGACAAGCAGATTGAAAACCGCTGTCCACTAAAACACGTTAATCTACATTCTACCCGCTCCAAGGCTAAGTACTCAAGGATGTTATGTGACAGCTGATAAGTTATATATATATATATATATATATATATATATATATATAAGTAATGGCTGATCGCTCGCATTCGAATATACCGGTGAGCTAGAGCGGATAGCTAATCATTATGGCAGACACCTGCTCAAGCACATTTGTGTTTGTTCAACACCCACAACCCACCAGTTTAAACCGCAACTATACCGGTTTATATTATGCTAAGCGAACCTTTACAATTTTGGGATATATATATATATATATATATATATATATATATATATATATATATATATATATATATATATATATATTATGTGTGTTTGTGTGTGTAAAGACTATATTGAATCCATTGCTTTGTCAACTGCTAAGAAAGTCGGTTCACTGTGCCGGGCGAGACAATTTTTCTCTCCGGAATCTGTCTTGCACATCTATAAATCTACCATTGGTCCATTCTTAGAATATTGCTACCATATATGTTCCGGTTACGCCTGCTACTTACCCAGAGATCCTTGATAAGACCAAAAAACAAAAAAAAAAGTATCAGCAATATAATTGGTCCTAATCTGGCATCTCGGATTCAGTCACTTCCCAACCGTCGTAAGGTTGCCTCCCTGTGCTTTTTCTATAAATACTTTCATGGTAATTGTTCGGATGAGCTCTTCGCTATGGTACCTAGACTTTTATTTAATTTAAGCGCAGTATCAGACGGGTGTTGTGATGTAGCCGTAAATTCTATGCTAACAATTTCTTTTCTCGCTTGTAGAACTCCCTTTCCAGCTCCATGCTTTCCAGCCAACTTTAATCTGCATTAATTTAAATGCAATGTCAATCACTATCTACTGTCCTCTTGATTACTCTTTCCTCTTCCCACTCATTATTAATGTTTCTGTTCCTAATTCTTCCACACCCTGTAACCCCTTGTGTCTTAGTGGCTTTACTGCCGTACATGGGTTGATACCGATTAAAAAAAAAATTACTGATAGAATATGGCTTCCTAGATGTGCACGCAAACACACAGACACACAAAAATATATATATATATATATATATATATATATATATATATAATGTAGGTACATTACTGATGTTTTACTTTAGAATATATAGTAAATAATTTCCGTGTTTTATACTTTCTTTCTTTCTTTTTCCTTTTTTCTTATTCTTTCTTTCATTCTTTCTTTTTTATTTCTTTCTTTTTTCTTTCTTTCTTTCTTTTTTCCTTTTTTTTCTTATTCTTTCTTTCTTTTTTTTCCTTTTTTTCTTTCTTTTTTTTTTCCTTTTTCTTTTCTTTCTTTCTTTCTTTCTTTCTTTCTTTCTTTCTTTTTCTTTCTTTTCTTTCTCACTTTTAATTAGTCTTTACTACCCTTCTACTTTTACTTTCTTCTTCCGGGTCGAAAAACAACTTCCGTTCAGTTCACCAAGTTGTTTTCTTTTACTTCAAACAGAAATAAAGATTTAAAAAAAATGTAATAAGAAATGGCGCCGGTACTTTTCTTTTGATCCTGTTGTCCGCCATGAATTTATGACGACGTGTTAAAAATTTATCCACCCCACCCCCGCTCCGGGAATAAAGAGTCTCACCTGGTGGTTCTAATCAAGAAATTGATAGATGCGTCTGTTAAATAAGACAAACGCACTTCACCTACACGCACAATATTACATCTGCAGATCTTTCCATTCGAAAATTATCCATACGTGTGTGAGTGTGTGTGTCGCTGTACGTTTGAATGTGCTTGTGTGTACTTATGTGTATGTGTGCGTATGTGTGTGAGTTTATGTGTGTGTTCTTGTGTGCGTGTAATGGTGAGTGATTGTGTGTGTAGCGTGCGTGTATTTTGATGTGCGTGTGCGAGTGAGTGCTTGTGTATGTGCGTGTGAGAGTGAGTGCTTGTGTATGTGCGTGTGAGAGTGAGTGCTTGTGAATGTGCGAGTGAGAGTGAATGCTTGTGTATGTGCGTGTGAGAGTGAGTGCTTGTGTATGTTTGTGTGGGAGTGAGTGCTTGTATATGTGTGTGTGAGAGTGAGTGCTTGTGTATGTGCGAGTGAGAGTGAGTGCTTGTGTATGTGCGCGTGAGAGTGAGTGCTTGTGTATGCGCGTGTGAGAGTGAGTGCTTGTGTATGCGCGTGTGAGGGTGAGTGCTTGTATATGTCCGTGTGAGGGTGAGTGCTTGTATATGTGCGTGTGAGAGTGAGTGCTTGTGTATGCGCGCCCGTGTGTATGGGTGTGGTATGTGTAGGTGTGGCATAACAGTTTTTAATACAGAAAATAGAATCAGCAAATCGGTTTCGAATTTCGACTGAGGCATGAAACCACATATTTTCTTTCCCATTGATAGGTATTTTTAAAGATGTCATGTCGTTAGCATGTCACAATAATTAACAGAAAGTTGTATGTGGTTTTTAGACCCACATCACCATTGAGTAAAGTGGTTTTTAGTCCCCAACATTCAGATTGGGGGTCGAAACCTGCCAACTCAAAGTTTAGATCAAATATTTCAAACTTCAGAGGTTCAAGCATTGAATTCTAATTTTAATCAAACAACGTTACGACAACGCTTTCTAATTATTCTCTGAATGATCTTCAAATTCTGTGCAATTTGATCACAGACTGCAGCCACTGGCATTGTGCGAGGCGGGAATCAGCACCTTGTCGATTTGAAAGTCATCTTCTTCGTTAACTCTCTGATACTCTGGTGCAACAATGGATGCAAAATCTAATTTTCGTATCTTTTAGTTTGAGTCCTGTACATTTTAGGCTCACCACACATCAATACCTTTTAGATCAAAGGCTCCTTATTGACATTAAATTCGATTCAGAGCCTTGGGTCTTTCATGTCGTTGATCACATACTACTCTCAAGTGGGCTACTACAATATTTTCTGTGTAGGGAGCAAAATATAATCATTAAATTCTCTACTTACACTACGGAAGTTTATATTTTGCTTACGTAACATAAACATTTAATAATCAGTTTTTAAAAGGTTAATACCTCAGTTCATTTGCTAAATGTGCGATGGAAAAACTTTGAGCTAAACGAGGCAAAGTTCAATAAATAAATGACCTCTAGAAAGTCTTGCTTTTAGTACTTACTTTGTCCTTAAGTCACGATATATGTAATCAATAGATTGTATTAAATTTTGGTCAGTCATATATTTTATCTGAATTTCTGGGATGAAGTGATATCACCATTATTTGTGCCCTACGGCCTTCATCGGGTTAATCAACATGCACCTGATGAAGTCCGGAAAGCACAACGGCCGAAATGTTCTTATTACAACAAAGATGAGGAATAGCCCGGATGTAAATAATGTAAATATTCATCATATTTGTTTAATAATTTTTTTATCATTATAATGTCGGGATTCTATGTCCTATTTTCAAAACATTTTCGACACGGAAAACATGGATAAAAAGAAAAAAAAGATATAAATCTTTTACTTTCAATCCATTCTGAAGGTTTGGATGAAGATTTGCCTTGGATTCATTTCAGAAAAAGATTAAAGGAATTTCTTACTTTCGAGTCATTCTGACAATGAGACGAGGATTTACTTTTAACTCGATACAAGCAAGCTGGGAAAATATTAACAACTTTTGATATCGTACATTGAGTACTGGTAATAAAATAGTGCTCGATGTAATATAGCAGAGCTAATAATTATATATTAATAAATATAATTTTTTTCCTCACCGGTAGCACGACTCGGAGTTTCATGCGCAAAGCAATCCTCAGGTAATCCCCGTATAATATATGGACTGAGGCAACATTGCGTTAACCAGATATTTTTTATTAAAATTGAAATTATGTAACGGCCAGCCTCTAATCAGCACCTGAAGATTGCGTTGTGCATGAAACTCCGAGTTGTGCTAGCGGTGAGGAAAAATATATATTTCTTAATATATATATATATATATATATAGTATTAAATTGTAAGAGTTTTTAGATGTCAAAATTCACGGTTCTTTTTCCGTAGTTTACTGGTGGAAAGGTATTCTAGGTTTTTGTCATAAAGTGCTCGATATCAAAAGATAACGATAGCGCATTAATAGAATTGATGTGGAGAAACTTGTCACTTAACTGAGTGGTGTTATTTCAGTCACATCGACTTCGAAGTTTCGTGAGTGCATTGTAGTAATGCCTCTACTTTTCAGTGCATTTGGCTATTGGAGAAGCCAATGGCACTGAATCAGATTGAAAATGAGAAGAGGATTTTTCTTGAATTCGATACAAAAAAACTGGCATAATATTTTAACAACTTTCGACATGAACTAAGAATTATAAAGAAAAGATACAGAATAAATATTAACGACTTTTTTAAACGTCTCTCATTTTCTTTGTTTTTTTTTTTTAATAACGAGTGGTTCCAAAAGCGAAGCCGTCTGCAGTTTCAACTCCTGTAATTCCACCCATGACGCGAAGGTCGAAGTGGAGGGATCAAATCGAACGCGACACCGACCCCCCCAAGACACCAACAGCGGAATAGGCAAAGATCTATACGATCTTAGACCGGCGGAAGAGCTCAGCGTCAAGTCGGGCTGGTGTAGCCAAATCGGACATTGACAGACCTAACATTCGAAAGCCCGATGCAACTGGTTTTGCCAGATCTTTTCTGTCTTAATCCACTTTAAGCCGCGAGGGAGGGGCACCCCTGGCAAAGTTTGTCGGCTTCTCCGTCGGGCAGAGTTGTCAAATCAAATTCACACGAATGTCCTGGCCTCGTCGAACTCTTCAACTACTCTTCAAGAGTAGGCTAGGCCTTTACAACAATCTCTACCATTGCCACCAGTATACTTTATCACAAACTAAAGGGCTATGGCGCCAGCCGTATGTTTTATTTGATCCAATCTTTAACACATCGCATAATGAAAGTCAAGTAGTATAGACAAATTCTAGACTCCCCCACATTAATGCTTGTATCCCCTAGGGGATTGATCCTTGGACCTACTCTGTTTATCATCATCAGCATCATCAACGAAATTTCCGATGTTAGCAGTTCTCAGAACAGTATTTATTCTAATGACGGAAATCACTTTTTTAGACGAAGTGTAATCTATCAATTAGGTCAGGGGAAATAACCGAGATAAACCAAGGCTCAATTCCCTACTGAAGGAATGCGCATATCATGTTGGAATATTTTGATGTCTATAACTGCGAGATTTCTGTTTAAAATAACAATGCATTAAAAATAAAAGAAAAGGATTGTCAGTGGTCAGGAATGAAGGCTCTAAGCAATGCTGAATTGATTCACCATCTCTCATCGCAGGGTCTTTTCTCAGATAAGCAATACTATTCATCACCATCAACAAAATTTCCGATGTTAGCAGTTCTCAAAACGGCATTTATGCTATTGACACGGCTATTTATTTTTGTTTTCGATAGGCATGATAATGTAAAATTGGCAGCTGATCTCGAAAATAATCAGTTGATTTTTTGCTCTCATTTAGTCTAATGCTAACCTCCAAAAGAACAACTCATAACGCCTTCTTGGTGTTGCACTTTCCAATGACATGAAGTGGGACGATTATATTGAATCAACAGCTAGGTTTGCATAGTTTTTTCTCGACAGAATCCATCTTGTACGTTTATAAATCTACCACTGGTTCATTTGAAAGCTCGAAAAAAATGTTTTTTTTTTTTGTTTTTTTTTACCTAAACTTCGGAAAAATAATATCGATGAGTCATTAACGCATAATTAACTTTTATGGCCACAACTGTACCAATAAAAAAAAAAGCTTTCTGTACCATTGTTACCATTTACATGTTCCAGATCGAATACTGAATTGATTTTTCTTTCAAGGCATTTTCTAATCTGTAGTCATTATATACGTACGTATAACTACTCTATCGCTATTTCCATGGCAAATGTTCAAATGAGCTTTCTTTAGTTCCACCTCTTCAGACCTTTATAGCTAGGACCCGCCATGCTACAGCCACGCAGTCAAATCACTCACGTTTCTCCCATACTTCAGTTGTAAGGCGGAAGCTCCACTAAGGCAGCTTTTTACTGACAACTACAAATTTATAGAACAGCCATTCAAGGGGATGCTTCCGTGAATGTGATACAATCACTTAACCTCTTCAAGGGCCAATCGTTATCTATCCCCCTTATCCTCATAATCTTCACTTCCTTCTACCTCTTCCTACATTAATGTTACACAACTCAATCAGTGAGCTTTTAACTTGATGTCTCTTGAGCCTTGAATTAGGAGAACTTTAGTATAAAAAAAAACTTTTACTATCTATCTATCTATCTCGGTCTAGCCATATCTATCTATCTATCTATCTATCTATCTATCTATCTATCTATCTATCTATCTATCTATCTATCTATCTATCTCGTTCTAGTCATAT